GAGAACATCCGCTGTTTTTCCCTTATCCGTTAAAAATCTCGCTCAGATGGGAAATGGTTACCCCTCATTCATCCCCCTTTCATCCGTTCTCACGAAAGAGTTACTGAACGATGATTGGACGAAATTTTGAGATAAAAGGAGAAATTAGTCAGAATTCGAGGAGTCCTCCGACCGATTTGAAAGTGTCCAGACTCCACATACGTTTCCTCCTGATGGCCAACGCCCATAACGGAGTCCGATAGACAAAGTCCCGAGTCTACACTTAGAAGAAGTGATATCTTTATATTTTTGTGCACGAATAAATCTCCTATTGGAAAGGAAGATGAACCCTATCTACAAGGTGTCCTATATCTACAGAAACGAAGACGACAACTAACAGGTCGTATGTTTAGAATCATTTTGTGAGCTCTCTCTCTAACGCGCATTAGCATAGATTTAGTCGAAGTCTATAGCTTGTCGTTTAATCGTTGTATTTGGTTATTTGTATTCGTTTGTTTGAGATTTATTAAATTATACTTATGTTTTATATAAGAATGTCTCCTCAATTCATTCCGAATCAGATCGTTATCACGTGTTTGTCCGCGCCTCTATAAATTGACAAACTGGTGTCGGGAACCTGACGAAGGAAGAAGGTGAATTCGCTATCACCAACTTCCGCTCTAGATTATAATATAACCATAAAGCCCTCCACACTCGTTCCCTACGACAGGGAAGGGCCGTTCTTGGACGACTGAGAGCTGGTCTTACCGACTAGTGCCCGTAAGTGGCATAGATTAAGACCTACGTCCTTGGCTACTCTCACATTTGTTTCCCTTGAAATTCTTATTTAAGTTGGTGTTAAAAAAATCGGTTAATTCAAATTTTTAAGTTTAAATTTGGACAAATTAAACATTAAACTCAAAAGAGAAAGTAGCATATGGTCTATTGCTGTGGTTCTCAAAGTCATAGATTGCAGACCACTTATAAGAACCATCTGCTTCTTATCTCGTAAAAATTAATTTGCATGATGAAATATTTCATCTATATACAACAGATAAGTGGTGCATAAAAATATCCATTTCTTTGGCCAAACAGCTTGAAGTTGCATTTTAGAAGAATTATTAATCAATCTGCATACAACCTGGCAAATGCTCAGGGATGTTGGACCATACTTTGAGAATCATTGGTCTGTAGATATGCATGTGTTTTGAAGTGCATGGTTTAAATGCAGATTATATGTATGGTAAGTTTATCTTAAAAGATTAGAGTGGTTAAAGGAATGCAAGAGAAAATGCAATATCGTCAAAGAATATGGAATACTGACAAATGTTAGAAACTACAAATATAAATATGAATAGCCCAATCTTTTAAAATGATTACTGGATTATATTGGGCTGTATTAATGCTGGCACTAGTAATTAAAATTTTAAGTAATTTATTTAACATATAATTATTATTAATTAAAAGATTAATATAGCCCTATATAATCTGTCAATTGTTTGGCATCAGTATTAGAAATTGCAGAAAACTAGTTTAATTTTCATAAATGGATAATTCGAATTTTGTTTTTATTCCTTTCAGTGTTCAAATTAAAAAGATAACGTCATATAAATAAAGTATTTTATTATAAATTGTTCAGTGACTGTGTTGTAATTTTACTAAACAGACATTTGACTTGCACAAAATTTCTTTTTTATTTAAAAGTCTGGTACCTGTTTCCTAAATTGCATTGCAGTTAATTGACAATTTAAAATAAAATAAAACAGTGTGGTTCCAACAACAAGATTAATGTAAAATTTTTTTATTAGTTTTTTGAAAAACTGGAATAAATTATTTTTTATTTTAATATAATATTAGTGATTTAAAAGTCTCTACATGTAGACTAAGCGTTTACTTCATTATACAGTTGCAATGATGTGTATGGGTGCCATTTAAACAAATGTGCATATAAATCATCTCTCTCATTTGTGGCAGATACCTGTTAATTGCACTTAACAGGACTGCCAGATGGCCGAGGCAGTCAAGGCTTTGGTCTGTCATTCTGGGGACCTGAAATCGAGTTTAAATGGCCAAAATCCCTGGGGATTTTCTGGGTGGTGGTCTACCCAGATATGTTGGGCACTGGCCATCCCTGTTAGGAGCTTGACCAAACCGACGATGGACTTGAATAAAAGCGCTCTTAGTGTCTGCAAGGTAGAAAGAGAGGGAACAAATCAGATAAAAATCTTAGGTTATACATACACGTGCATTACAAGTATGTATTTTGGGTGTCTTTCTTGTATAGACTTTTGAATCATTCTGTATTTAAAATTATATTTTAAATATTACTAATGTTTATCTTAAATATTTATATAAGCTTTACATAAAATATTTTAAACTAATAAATAATTCGTGCTACTCAATAACCAAATCCATTATTATTTTATTACAGATCATAAATCTACAGCTCAGTCTGCTGCAGAACTGATGAGACCTTTCCTGCACGAATTTCTGTCTTCTGCTTACGAAGACTACGATATAGTAATCTGGTGTAAGTTTCCTGATTTTATTTCCATATTTTTATAGAAAATCATGACTTTGTGACTATTTGACTTTCAAAATTTTAAAATGTGTTTACTCTGTCTTTCAGACTTTGGATTTCTTATTTAAATTGTTTGATTGAAACACGAAGCAACAAAATCCAATTATTAATGATATATTTGATTAAAACATAACTAAATCACATTAGACTCTTCTAGAATATGTTAATAATTATACTTTTTAATCTACAGCCGCGACCAATATGAAATGGATAGAAGTAAAGATGAACGAGTTGGGAGTGTCGTCTAATCCCAATTATAAAATAGCATTTTATTTGGACAGTTCAGCAATGATCAGTGTCCACACGCCCAAATACGGATTAGTTGACGTAAGTTATTAAAACCAAGTTTTTATTAGAAAGTATGTTACATTAATCATTATAATATAGTTAAGCAATTTCTTTAATTTCTTAGGTCAAACCTCTCGGACTCATTTGGGGGAAGTTCGAACAGTACAACAATAAAAATACGATCATGTTCGACGACATTAGAAGAAATTTTTTAATGAATCCTAAAAATGGATTAAAGGTTGGTTTGGTAAAGATTACAATAATATATATATAAATTAGTTATCTCGCGATAATAAAGGTTTACATTTTTTCTTAGTTTTTCTTGTACTAGTCAAATACAGGGTGTCCAAAAAGTTCTCGTCTGGTGGAAATGGTTTAATTAAAGTGTTAATAAAAGTGAAGTTTTATGTATATTGCAGTTTCTCCTGCAGTAAATGCCAGAAATGCCCCCAGAGGTCCCAAAATCTGGAGGAGTAAGGTCTGGAAATTTAGCAGGTTATATTATGCAATCGGTAAAGAAGTCTTTCCAAAAACCAGAATGTCCACGATGGTTTTAGTGGTAATACCATCTGCAAAGTTGGAAATGTGGGTTTCATATGCAATGCTATATGTGTAACTTTAATGTCACTCTAAATTTCTCACTGCATGATAACTTTTTGGACATCTTATACTAATAAATTTTTTTGATGTCATACTTCTAAGATGAATTTCTCTCACATTTGGAATCACTTGATCATGAATGTATCATCTGAATCGGTCTTAATTTTAAAATTCAGTTTTTCAATGGTCAATTTAAACTCTATTATTTTGAATTCGGTTCAAAGTCTTTGTTACAAAATCTCCAAGTTGCTCTTTGAAACTCTAATTAAAAAACAAAAAACATACTTTATGAAGCAATTTGTTTACTTATCTAAAGCTCATTCACTGTCGACGCTTGATTCATTTGGATATTAAATATTTGATATTTGTTTAAATAATCATTCCAAAAAGCACAAGTTTCTTATATTATGTGTTTATGTTGCATATTTTCTCAACAATTTATCATTAAAACTAATAATAATACTGTAATGATAAGAAAAGTTTTTGAGTCCAAAAGAACTATGAAACTAATTACATTTCATTTTCTATTTTAGAGGAATTGCATTAATTTTAGCAATTTAAATCTTTTTATCTTCTAAATTTTCATTCAAAGTACAACATTAGAAGTGAAATTGCATAATTAAATCTAACTATTATTGAGTTTTTGCTCAATTCTTCTTGAAAGACTGAAATTATTAGTATTTACTTTTTAAAAAGGCATTTATAAATCTTGGACCATTTCAATTAAATTTTTATAAAGTATGATCTTACCCACGACGAAAACTTAATATTGAAATTAAACTAGTTGTATTTTGTAAATTAATAAATATTTTTATCGAATGCAGATTAAACCTTTCCGCGACGCCCACAGCAACCGTCAGCATGACAAAGAGCTGTTGAAATTAGCAAAGTACTTGAAATACATCTCAAAACTGGAAAATTTTGACGACTTAAATCATAAACATTGGGAAAAGTAAGTGAATATTGCCAAAATAATTTGTTTGTTTTTGAATTTGTAAATGCCGAGAAATAAAATCGATTTATTTTCTTACCCCGTGGTGGTCGTTAAGGCTTTTACTACACATCTGTTATGAGTTGGACCAAATATACAATATAGTAGTCACATGACAAACGATAGACAACTGGAGCCAGACTGTTGTAAAAATTCAGGAGGATCCAGTCCCAAATTTGCATCCAGTGTGAATTTGTAATTTATGGAACATTTATTATAAAATATAGCAAAATATCCAGAGTAAAGAACAGAAAAATTCACCATTTGTTGATTAAATTAGTTAAAGGTTAACAATACATGGTGCCCCAAAAATGTAACCAAAGTTTATTATTCACATGTTATTTTAAGTGTCAGTGCATGAAACAGCAATGTGTGCAGTTGAAATATAATGTTTGTGTATCTCTCTGTGGTAGTCATCCTACATTAGGAACATATGTATTGTGTTGAAGGACAGCATTCAACTTGAGATAGGAGGATTTTCACCAATGCCACAGCGAAAGATATTTAGTAAATGGAACTATGCTCGAAACACGATGGAAGATATATAGAGCACATAGCATCCATAAAACTAGATATTACTTGTTAGTAAAGTGTACAATGTATTGCTTTCTTGCATTTTGGTTACCTCTTTTTGGGCCCCACTATAGTAATTAAATGCACTTCCATTGACACTTTCTTCACGTTTGCTTACCCCCGAAAAGTTTAGTAAATAGTGTTTTAATGAAAGCTTTTCTTCTATCAATAAACATTTTCCAATTGCCCGAGAAACCGATGAGAATTTATAAAAAATATTTTAATGTATAAATATACAAATTTTATAAACATAATTTGAGTTTGGAGTAGTTTAAATGTATATTTATAGTGAACTGTAGATCATACTTAAACACTAAAATTCAAATTGAACGAATTGTTTGGCACATTCTAAATGTCATTCACCACCAGCTTCAAAGCCCCTACTTTTGAATAAATTTCTACACGTTTATAACGTAATTAATTAACGATTTATTATTAAATTTTGCAGGTATCTTCCTTCCGAAGCAAAGAAAGACAGTTTTAGACTATGGCAATAATAAATTACCGAAAGATTTCTACCGAAAAAGCGATCAGAATCAACATTCTAAGTTAATTATTTCACTCATTTGAATCTATGTTCCAGTACAAACTATGTAAATTTTTATGTTTATGTGTTTGATACACCATTAGAGATTTGGGATGCCGAAAGTGCTGTTTAAATGCTTGAAATGTTGATAAAAAAAAAAATTACAAATCGCCGCATTCTTGTACATTTATTTTAAAAATATAATAAAACCGCCATTTTTTTTTCTTAAACTCTCCTCGTTTATTAAAACTCTAGACGGGGGATGCTCGACAGTCGTTTAGTTGCTGTTCCTTTCACCAGATGTCGGAGCTTTGTATCAATTGAACCGAGTGCAGGCACTTAAAATAACCGGGTGATGCTAGTTCAGTAACATTTCTAGAGAAGAAACGGTACATATAATGTGATTATTTCAATTTTAGAGCTGGGAGAGGGAGGGTTTGGGTTGGGGCTTCTGCCGACTCCAAGCAAAAACGCTTCATTTTCAACTACAAACTCTACAGTAACTCGATACGGTAAGGTACTATTTTTAAAAATACAATATGTAAACCGTGTGTGCCACACCGGCGCTTAAATGTCGCGTTAGTGTTTTATTTACTGTATTTTTTATACCAGGAATCGGTTTTTTGTGTGTTTTTTTAATCGAAAAAGTGTATTTTTTGTGTTGTTTTAGTGTCTAAACGCTCGCTGATTTCCGTGCCAAGATTTAAATATAACGTGGTGAGTCGCGATAAACATCGCGCTAGACAATCTTCGCAGTCGATGATGATGATGATTTTAAGGAAATAAATCGCGTGGTAATTAAATATCGCAATAAACGTAATGCCGTCTATTCTGCTGATTTATTTTTCATTAAATTTGCTTATTTTTTACAAATTTTTATTTATTTATACGTAAAACGGTAACGTTCTAAAGATAGAAATGGCAAGAATGCACGAACTCTTTAAAAATGTGTGTGTAATACGCTGAAACATCTTTAAAATATTTTTATATATATTTTATAATGTTTATAAAGTAAATGCCCGATGGTAATGAGTCTTCTGGATGCATTTGTCAGCCATTCTCGAAATTCCCTTTCGGTCACGTGACTTGGCAAAGGTTTCGTATTGACTACGATTGCGGCGTCAACGTGCAACGTCTGAGTCGTTAATTTTAACAATAATAACGTCGCTCTCTTCCCCATTTTTTAAATTTCGTTTAAAAATTTAAAAAGTAAATTAAAAGTAAATTACCCAAAGTATGTTCAAGTTTAAATCCACTGTCTACGTATATAATATGTGTACCTACTTTTAATCGAATTCACCCGTAAAAAATTATCAAAGACCAGTAAATTTACCCATTCATTTTTTTACCTGATTACTGTTAATACGATCAGTACTAGCAGTAATGAATGTAAAGGAGATGCATATTAGTATACTTGTAAAGTATTTTTTAACAAGCGTAAGTATTCCTTAAATCTAATAAGACTAAATTATAAGGTACTTTAAATGTTTTATAAATGCATATTAGCCACATGTTCCGCGAGCAATAGTCTAGTCACGTAAAGTTTGCTGGAATTTCTTCACAAAAAATAACCTTACCGTATAGTAATGAAACCAAAGCTACAGAACTTTGTGCCATATTAAACAGTTTTCAAATAAAAAATTATACAATTGATTAATTGCCTAACAATTAGAAAGGAACATTTCATGACGTTACGAATAAACTGAAATAATCAGGTAAGATCAATCAGCGTAATAAGTTGTCTCAATTCCTATTATCTATCTATATAACCCATTTAACGCGTGACCGTCTGTCCGNATAAGGGTGTATTGCTACATTCTTCAAAGTTTATTGTATTTAAAACAACGTATTCCCTATTGAATACCATGTATAAAAGTATTTAATACAATATCTCAAATATGAATAAGTTTCCTGATTTCATGGTGTTACCTGGTAATCCTGACTGTAAACAAAAAAGGTGAGCTTTAAGTATTCAGAAACGTGAAATAATAATTGTAAGATTACACATTTTCGACAGATGGCTGTATTCTGGGTAAATTTTCCCGAATTTTTAGGAGCCATTCGACTTTCAAATATATTTAATTATTATTATATTTGGTAAGCTTTTTGTTAATATTTTAATGTTTTGTTAAAAATTAATTCAAAATTTCTTTTCGTTTCATTTGGTCTTTTGATAATGCCGTGATTCTGTTTCGTCATTAAATATTGTGACAGTTACAGAAATTTCATTATGAACTGTCTTTTTGTTTTATTTTCATACAAACAATTACTCAACTCTGCTAGACAATGTCAGTGAAATTATTCTGTTAATATTGTACAATATAACTCACTTTCCAGGTGTTAAATTAAAAAAGAAAAAGAATCAACTTTAAATTTGAGTACTTTTGTTGATTTTAATATTAATTTCTTCCAGAATATGGCTGTTAAAGACAATTTAAAATTAAATTATAGGAAGTTCTTTAATCCAGCACCTGGCCAAATGTCTGTTAAATTTAATCTGACACTCTTAGTGCTTCTAGTGGGTTTGGGGTTGTTTGACTATGTGAATTCTTTTATTGGGAGAATAATATTAGTGTGGGTCATTCTCTTGATAAAGAACTTGTGTTTGGTACAAAATATTAAATCATGATATACACAGTGTGCATCAGAAGTAGTAGTATAGTAATAGGACAATATATTAGGGCAGTTTAATAGGGTGAATCTGTTTGACAAGTTAGAGTTATGCTTGAAGTGCTCAAGAGAGCACTTCAAGCATAACTCTAACTTGTCAAACTTGTACAGCTTGAAAATCATAACTAATTGTTATATAATTCATTTAAACAAAACCTTGATTTTACAATAAAACTAACACATTTAATATCACAGTACTTCAAACATTGTTCTACTACTTCTGATGCATTCTGTGTAGCCAAATTATAAATATAGTATGTATATAAAGGTGAATTTCATGTGCAGTAGTATGACTCTATTGTATACATGTACAGTATTAAGAGCAACTGACTGGATGGGGAGAAAAGCAAGGTAATGTTTTGTATAAAAATATTTTTCTAACTATTTACAGTGTACATTTAAGCTACTAACAAAAATAAAGTCTTATAATTTGACATTTTCAATAAACCAACACTATGTAGGTCTAATGCACACTGGATTAAAAGTTATTTACTGTTAGAATAGTTAAACAAGTTGAATAATATGAAAAAGTATTTGAATTTAAACTTCTTTCATTGTTTATACTTCTAATTTTACATCAGGAAAATCGTTTATAATGTATGTCATTAATAGTATGTAGTGTACTGTACATACAATTGTTTTTCTTTGATGGATTAATTACTTTCTTGATTATCATATAAACAAATTCAAATTAATTTAGATAATTTGCATTTTGTATGGAACTTCAGTCTATTCTAAGATTTTGTTTCACATCAGAAGAATGTCTGATTTGCATATTCTTATTCTTAGAACATTTCCCATTTGAAATCTGTTATATCAGTCGCCAAAAATGCATCTTCAAGCTTTTAACAAATCATTAATGTCTTTGAAATTCTTTTCATTAAATCTGTGATTTTCAATGCAATCTACAATAGGATCAGTTGACATGGATGATGTATTGGAATGATTTCTCAACATATTAGCCATGACAGATTACGGAGATTAGATCAGATTTAAATCGTATCTCCTAAGGAGATAGGCCGATTTTATCACCTGACTAGAATATGATTAGAATAGACTTCCTTATTACAATTGGTATGAAATGTAAGTACAGAGTGAATTCCTGAGTATTAAATAAAAACTGAGTTAATTTGAATTTGTAACTGTTAACTATTATGAAGCAATTTCTCTGACATTTTTGTTGTGTTTATATAAACAAAAACACTTTCTTACTTCTAATGTTTACAAAGGATAAAATTTTAATTACAAAAATTAAACATTTTAAATGCAAAAAGTACTTTAATGTGTCTTTTTTGTTAAAATTTTCATTTTATATTACAGTTTATGATAATATAAAAACAGACTTGACATTTATTATGATATTTCGTTATAAAAAATAATATAAAATCATTTTTAGATGTATGCTACAGAACAAAATATTGAAAGTTATTGGAGCCATTATGAAAATTTGTCAATATTTATAGGAATTTATTCTAATGATTAGAAATTATGATTTAAATTAAGTTTCTAATAAGCTTCTTCTAAAAAATGCTTAAGTTAAAAAAGAAATAATACATTCATAAATTTATTTATGATCATGCTTTAAATAAAATGTATTAATGTTAAAAATACAGGATTTTTATAAAGTTCCTATTTTATATAGAGAAATGAAGGATCAATATTTTAAGTTTAATTAAAAAATAACATAAGATATATGCTTATTGAATTTTAAGAATGAAATTTATGGATTTTTTTCTGCCGCAAGACCACTAATAGGATCTTTTTAATCATATCCATTATTCAGATGGGCCCAACAAACACACAGCTACACAAAATACATACAACATAACAGCAACACATATATGGAACAGATTACCTATGAAAAATTATTGTTTCCAATCCAGACAAACCAGATTCTCTAGAGCAGTGTTTATCAATTGTTCTTAATAGTTACACTTCTACTTCTTTTTATAGATACGTGTATAGTTAATTTAAATTGTACACAATATTTTCAATAAAATGATTATAACCATATTAAATAAATAATAATTTTAATTACATATGAATATACAATAACTTTTAATAGTACATGTAAAAAGCATTATGATGTTACTCGTTGTTATATTTCTTGGCACCTCGGTCAAAAATCTCTGTTCTAGAGTAGTGGGCCGTTCGCGAATCACTTGGCATAGTTACATTGAANTTTGTAGTTTTGAATGTTTCCGGGAAAGTTAAGCAACTCTTCGCTGAATTTTTATTATTTATTATTTCTTATTAAACTGATCTTACCAGAGTTATGGCTAAAGTATAATGAAATATGATAACAGATGGCGGCAGAGAATGTTTCCGGGAAAGTTAAGCAACTGGTTGTTGCGTAGAGAAGAACCGCGCGAGTCGATTCAAGGCTCCGTACCTTTGTTCACAAACTCGTATTGTGAATGATTGATTAGGAGCCAGAGCCCATTTCCGCGTGACCCGTACACGTTTATTCAGGAAATCTCAATTAACTCGAGAAGAAAGTAAATGATAAACACTTCGAGTTAATTATAAACTTATATAAAAAAAATCCTAT